GAGCTGATACCAAGGGCTCAAGTAGAAAGAAAACATTTTGAAAACGATGATGGCAACATATGTACAAATGTGCTTGACACAATGCATGTATATATGGATTGTGATAAGAGCTGTATGAGCCCCCAATAAAATGATTTTTAAAAACCCAAAAAGAATCACAGCCTCCTCAGATCAGAGACCAAAAGAACTACATGGTGCTCGGCCACCACTCTGACCAGGGGCACAATCAGAAATCTGGATAACATGGGGGAAACGTAGCACAAAATCCAAATTCCCCTCCAAAGGCCAGACCTATTGGACCAACAGAGACTAGAGGCAGCCCTAAGACTACCACCTCAAGATAACGTCTGACCACAGAATTGAAGCTGTGTCTGCAGGTGACTGGATCAGCCAAATAACAGATTGGCTGATAAGACCTGTGAGTCTGTTACCTGTGAGCCCTGTGCTCCCTTAAAGGGTGAATTACAGGTCAGAGAGTCAACATGGTCTCCAGTGCAAAGCTGAGAAGGTGTGTTGGGCCGGGCTGTCTAGAGAAACAAATCCAGTGACGCTCACCTATGTATAAGAAAGAGCTTTATCTCAAGAAGTATTTATCTATGAAGAAGGCATCCCAGCCCAGTCCAACTCAAGTCCAATGCTAGTCCATAGGTCCCTCTTCAGACTCACTTAACCACATGCAGGTGACCAGACAGGTGAAGTGGGAAGCAGGAAGATTACAGGCTGGTGGGTGCTGAGTTGATCAAAAGTCCATGGGAACACAGAGCATGAGAGGGCAGGGCAGCTCTCAGGGTTGGTGGCCCACCTGGGGCTGCCCCTGGACAGGCAGAGTTCCAGCAGGCAGGAAGGCAGAGGGGCGGAGAGAGACCAGTTCCCAGGCCCTCGCTTTGATACCAAAGGCTCATGGCATCAAGAGGTGTCATCAGGCTGCCCCTTGATTGACAGGCTTGACTCCACCGCTAGCCAGGAGTGGAGTCATAGGGCGACATGATCCCTATCGGACTAGAATGGAAGGGAAGGAAGGATGACCATTAGTGGAAACAGAAGTGAAGGAAGGGAAACAGGAGGAGGCCGAGGAGGACACAGTGCTAAACATTGTAACCAACGGCATGGAACCCTGGGTCTGAACATTGTTGAAGGGGAGCCCAGTTTTCTAGGTAAACATTCACCTACCACACAAAAAGCAAGCAGAAGAATCTACGTGCCTTAACTTCTAGGAGCAGCATAACTTCTATTTCCATCACTTTGTCATGAAGCCCGTCTTCACCGTAACCGAATCCTCTGTGCACCGTTCGATTTTCACATTTGACGATAGAAATCGATTGTCCCCTCATTTAACATTGAGCCTTAAGAACAACAACAACAAAAGCAATGAAACCACATCTTTCAGAACTGACGGAGACCCGGAAAGTGTCCTGACCTTCAGGGGGTTGGGACGGAACGTCTCTTCTCCAAAGCCTTGGTTTCCACTGGAAACAGTTACTGCACCTCTGGGAGGCAGTGCTGTGTGTCTGACTGATGGGATTTCAAAGCACACAGTGAGCCCAGTATTTCTATCCACCCAGCCGTGTCCTCTTTGGCTGGGGTCCACTGGAGGAGGTCCTTGTTTTGCTGTGGTCTCAGCCCAGGCAAAGCTGGGCAGCAAAGACCCTGCTTCCACATAGGGAGGCCCGAGTGAACCAGCCTCACCAGCAGGGGAATTAGCTAATCCTGGAACTCAGTACCAGGAAGTCATGCGGCTACACACTTGTGTCTCGCCCTCCAAACTGTCCTCTCTCAGTGACATCCACCTCACTGACGCGCTGTCTCTCAGTCGACTCAACGCAGGACAAAAAAGGGAGAGCTCTGTACGTGCCGTGCTCGACCTCCACGATGTACGGTGGAGGCAGGTGCACAGGCAACACAAGTGCAGGGCCAGGTGGGCTTGTGAGGAAAGATAATGTTGATAGAACTACTCTTGAATATCTAAGCGGAGGCCATATGCCATGGCTAACCCTCCCGGCATCTCTATGAGAAAGACATCATTTTCCAGAAGAGGAATCTGATAGGTGGGAAGTTGAAGATCTTGCGCCCAAAGTTCCGCAGGTAGGGGGCAGTGCCAGGCGTGCCTCTTGGCCAGTCTCCAGATGTTCCATCCCTCTTCTACCTGCATGCACCCTGCCATCTTTCTCAAGAGCAGCTGTCCCTGCATAGCATCCCTTGTTCTCTTCTGTGC